TGACTGAACCTCCTCTCTTGAGTGGCACAACAAAGCCCTTGCACACACGCCCCCTGGGTGTAACTGTTGGGGTGGACGGGAGCCTGGGTGTGACTGTGGGCGGCAACCTGGGCGTGACTGTGGGCGTGGGCGGGAGCCTAGGTATGACTGTAGGCGTGGGCGGGAACCTGGGTGTGACTGTAGGCGTGGGCAGGAACCTGGGCGTGACTGTGGGCTGGGAGTAAATGTGGGATTTTTGCGACGGTGGAGGTTGGCGGGTGACGGAGGTAGCGGGAACAAACTGGCACCTTATCTCCTGGATTCGTCGTTCGATGGTGTCGCCTTGTTCCCACGGCCTGAAGAACATCAACACTTATTTACAACGATGAATTACCATTCAAAGTCGTTATATTCTACTTTATTTTTTATCATTTATCTGTAAATTAAACATTATTCTAAATAACCTATGGTATATAATGGGTACTGTTAACAGCAAGTAAAAAGTTCTTAGTCACTCAATTTTTCCCTCCCTAGAGGCTGGTTCCCTTCCCTCACTCCAGCTCCTTGTACTGTACTGTACCTCACTACTGTACACTCTCCTGCAATCTATTACCCATCACTTTCTCCACTAGACTCTGCTGTGATAACTCACCTGGGAGTCACCCATGTGGGCGGCAGTGGAGTGGGTGGCGCTGAAGGGGTGGCGTACATTGTAGGCGCCACGGGTTGAGTTGGTCTACGGCAGGTGCCATTCACACTGTTATAATTCCACCTGCATTTCAGGTGTACAATAATTGATTAGTACTACTATATATATATATATATATATATATATATATATATATATATATATATATATATATATATATATATATATATATATATATATATATATATATATATATATATATAGGGTAACAGGATACAGTATACCTAATTTAGGCTATTCTTTGCTGTATAAAAATATATATTGGCCAAGAAATTCTAGGAAGACCCTGGGCTTAAGATGTCTGCGTATTTGTGACTCTGAATTTATTGACGATGAATTGAAACACATTCGTTCCATTGCACAGAAACTCGGGTACCCTTCTGTGTTTGTTGATAGTTGTTTTAAAAGGGCTAAAAAATCCTTTCATTCCTCTCAAACCAGACAAGTTCCTACACTTAAGAATATTCTGACTCTGCCCTATCGTAATGAATTTGTCCCGTTAGTTCGGTCCCTCAAGCTTCTAAATATTAATGTTGTTTTCAAGTATGACTCTACCATTACCAATATGTTAATAAGGAATAGCCCAAGTTTGAATGTAAATGGAAGTGTTTATTGTATTCCATGTAGCAAATGTAATTGTAATTATGTAGGACAAACAGGAAAAACACTGCAGCTCAGAATCAAACAACATAAGTATAATATCAGAACAGCATCTGAAAGCAGTGCCTTGTTCGTTCATGTTAGGAATAATAATCACCCCATTGCTTGGGAAAAAAGCTTAGAAGTATTTAAATCATCTTGTGTCACAGAAAGACTTCCGGTTGAAGCTAGTTTGATTAAGGAATTAAAATCAATAAACCTTAGTGATGGTCAGTTCAAAACTGATAATATGTTACATAAATTTATTTGTCAGTGGCCCAAGGTTAAAATGGCTTTGAAAACCTTTGATCTAGATGTATGATAGTTATTTTGTGGGTCCCTTATTTTTGACCTGACCTGACTACTCACGTCACCCCCCTTCTCTTAAGCTCCTCTACGTGTGTGTTGGTGTGGGGATTAGTGTATGACATCATTATGACCTGACCTCATGTTTTTAAGGTCACCCTGTATATTTAAGCCTCTCTCTGTCCATGTAGTCCAGTTGCCTCTGAAGATGTCTTGAATAAAGACGAAAGCTAAGGTGCTCCGTTGTTTCCATTTTCCCCGGGTGATTTTACCAAGATATATCTTATCATTTTCATTGTGTATATATACAGAGGAGGTTGAGACCAGGTCTACAATGGTCCAGCACATGCCATTACTCAAATTCATGTTGAATGCTTCGGTATGTTTAATGAGACTAGATTCTATGATGTTCCTATCAATTGAATTACAAGGTAATATTGAGGAGGCTGTCCCAGTCAATGCAATGCTTTTTATCTCTCAAATGAACAAATAGAGCATTGGATTCTGCTTCCTGTCCTATATGTATATATATATATATATATTTCATGTAGATCCACAATGACAACGTGGATAAGATAAATCTTGATAAAATCACACGGGAGATGGAAACAACGGAGTACTTTAGCTTTCGTCTTTATTCAAGACATCTTCAGAGGCAACTGGATTACATGGACAGAGAGGGCTTAAATATACAGGGTGACCTAAAAACATGAGGTCAGGTCAAAATGATGACATCCACTAATCCCCACCAACACACGTAGAGGAAGCAACAAGAAGGAGGTGACGTGACTGAACAAGTCAGGTCAGAAAATAGGGGCCCACAAATAACTATCATACATCTAGATCAAAAGGTTTTTCAAGCATTTTTTAAACCATGGGCCACTGACAAATAAATTTATGTAACATATTATCAGTTTTGAACTGACCATCACTAAGGTTTATTGATTTTAATTCCTTAATCAAACTAGCTTCAACAGAAGTCTTTCTGTGACACAAGATGATTTGAATATTCTAACTTTTTTAGCTATGGGGTGATTATTATTCTAACATGAACAAACGAACTTTTCAGATGCAGTTCTGATATTATATATGTTGTTTGATTCTAAGCTGCAGTGTTTTTCCTGTCTGACCTACATAATTACAATTACATTTGCTACATGGAATACAATAAACACTTCCATTTACATTCAAACATGGGCTTTCCTTATTAACATATTGGTAATGGTGGAGTCATACTTGAAAACAACATTAATATTTAGAAGCTTGAGGGACCGAACTAACGGGACAAATTCATTACGATAGGGCAGAGTCAAAATGTTCTTAAGTGTAGGAACTTGTCTGGTTTGAGAGGAATGAAAAGATTTTTAGCCCTTTTGAAGCAACGATCAACAAACACAGAAGGGTACCCAAGTTTATGTGCAATAGAACGAATGTGTTTCAATTCATCGTCAATAAATTCAGAGTCACAAATACGCAGACATCTTAAAAACATAACAGAAAAAAACTGACATTTTGGTAGACTCAAGGTGATTCGATAAAAGTGAATGAAACTGTCTACCTGTGTGGGCTTTCTATATACCTTAAATTTATAGTTTTGGCCATTTCTCATGATAAGCATATCAAGAAATGGAAGGGATTCATTTATTTCTCTTTCAATTTTGAATGTGATAATAATATTGTTATTATCACATTCAAAATTGAAAGAAATGGTTCCTTCCGTTTGTTGATATGTTTTAAGAACATTTTTGAGAATAAAACATGAATGTTAAATTAAAATATGAGGTGTTTAAAACTGATGTTTTGGGTGTCCATGTAATCAGTTGCTGCTTGGTGGAAAAGCTAAGAGTACTCCGTTGTTTCCATCTTCCATATGATTTTATCAAGATATATATATATATATATATATATATATATATATATATATATATATATATATATATATATACGTATATATATATTTATATATATATATATAATTTTTAAGGATTAGTAGGGTCATTACCTAATACCTGACCATTGTGGACCTGGTCTCGCCCTCTGTATATATACAC